ATTTTCCGTTTCTAACTTGACATATTAAAAAAATTCTTTTTGTTAACGTTTCTTAAGATTATTAATAATTTCTTTTCCTTTCCTATATTGTTTTCCTATTACTGTGTTTCATGTAAGTATGTATGTGTATTGAATAACTATATAATTATCATTTAAAAGAACTCATATTAGTTCCACATTAACTATCAACTAAATGTGAACATTACAAGTGTACATATATTTCATAACTTCAACACAGTGTTTACTTGTATATTGTGCGCAAGGCAGCCAGATAAAAATACGTAAAAATTATAAAAGAATTCTTATAGTCATAAAAATATTTCTATAGATATTCAAAACACATAAGTATTTACTAATATTAAAAAAAAATTAAAATATTCTAAAAAGAAATATGCAAATTTAAGTATTCTACATTATAGAAGAATCTAAAAATTCATGTAATTTTAAAGTCCTTACTTGACTCTATTTACAAAAACAATTCTTTCATTAAAATACAAATTGTTTTTGAATTTTTCCAAATTAATTATTATTATTTTTGATATTATTATTAAAACAAATTGAATTAAATTCCTTCTTCTACTTACTTCCCAACATTATAACTATACTATAAAAGGAGGAAAAAATAAATAGGAAAGGAAAAGAAAAAACTATAATAGCATCCTTAATTAAAATTCAGCATCGTCATAACTATAAAATCTTATCGAATATTTTAACCGCATCACTACTGGAATTTTGTTTCGAAATTTTATTTTTTTGTGTGTTGCTAGTTCGTAGTAAGTACATTTCCTCCAAAAATACTTCTATTTGAAAAGAATTTAACGAAAGTTTAAATATGCTTAGCAACAGAAAAAGAATTTGTCTTTAATGAGATTACAGAAGAACAAGCAGAAAATTACAGAACCGGAAAAGAAAAAACAATTTGCTCGATCTTACAACATTCTCAGAATTTTAAAAATTCCACAAATAACACGATTATGAAGTATTGAATTTATTACAAAAATATTCAAGACCTGCAAGAAATTTTAATTTTTCCTCGTAAAATACACGATTCAAGAATCTTAGAATAGTTTTATCAACCATTCGGTTAATGTAGCTTATGGAGCAGTTTTTTGGAATTTATGGTCATCCCTCTGTAGGCTTTGATGGTCAAATTTGTCAAACAAATCCACAAGTTTTATACACAAAGTAAAAATGATAATTTAGTATGGCGTAATTGTTAGTTCTTGTACCTTAAAAACAAGTTACCTTTAGTAACTCTTATTTTAATATTTATAACTACTTTAATAACAAAAGCTCAGCGCTATTTTTTGTGAATTTGACCAATATCTCATTAAATCCACAAAATCCATGCCAGTGTCGATATAACTTGGAAAATTTTAATTTTTTCTATTTATTTTTAAAAGAGTTTGAAATTTTAAGTAAAACTCAATTAGAAAGCATAAATCCATCAGAACGGCAAGATTTTTATAATAAACAGACATGTTAAGCATCTGTCCAACACTAATTCTTACAATCGGAAATTTCCCGAGATTTTAATGCTTAAGACATGCTTATATTCCCGATCAACGTACAAACGATACGATCAGCACTAAAATTACGTAAAATATTTATTAATTGTGTAACAATTACACACACGTTTCAATAATAAATTAATGTGTATATTGCTGGCACAAGCTATAAACTATTCAAGAGTACCGAGTCAAGAATTAATTTCCAATTTGAAAAATGAAAATTTAGCATTTTCTGCAGTTACGATCACTCATACGAAAAACCTTTATAAGTTAAAAGTTATAAAATATTATGCAATTTATAAAAAAAGTTCATAAAAAATATTCCAACATATTTTCAAGCTCTAATTGACTATAATGCAATTTATATATGAGATCACATTTGTTATTGAAATTTGGATAGCTTTTCTTCTTGTTTTTGTTTTTCTCTTTCTCTTGTTACCTCAATAAGTTTTCCATATAGAAAACTCATACATTTTAAGCCTCACATAATAAAAACAATTTTTCTTCTATTATCCCATATTTTTGTGTATGTCCTTAGAGAAATTAATAATTTATCTAACTTTAATAACATTACAGTTATATTAAAAAATAAAAAATCTTACTAACAAATGGTCACAAAAATCATTTATAAAAAAATAATTTTAATTTTGTTTTTCTATTTTCTAAATTTAGTTTGGAAAATCTATGATAAAAACTCCATCTTGTATTATGTGAAAAGAAATTCTTTAGAGTTTTATTTTTTTTTTTTTTGTATAAATAAAATTCAGAAATAGGAAAATTATAATATATTAATATATATACATATGTACATATATTGCGTATATATGTATGTGCTTACTTACATATAAAATATAAAAATATACGATTATTTGTTCAACCTTCCCTTATAGTTATAAAATGTATAAGCCTTCACACAAAAGGAACTAAAATCATATAAATATTATGTATGATTGTAGGTAAGTACATGTAATATATAATTTTTGGCTTGGATATTTTAAAGGTTTAAAGGACTTCAACAGGCTATTTATTTATTTTTATATATAATATGTATATAAATATAATTAAATATACATACATATGTACATGCAGATTGTAAATAACAATAATTTTTTAAGTGACGCAATGCGGTGTTACCCTTTAAGTACTATCCATTTTTGTATCCAAATTGCAAAAACATCTGCACGTATTGTATAAAATCAGAATATATCGGCAATACTTGAAAAGGATATTTTACATCCAAAAGCGAAAAATTTCATATTTTCATTAAAAAAGCAAAAAATAGAAATTTTTCCTATTGTTTTTAATTTTTTTTCCAAAATTAAAGAAAAAAAAATGGAAAAAACTAAAATGAAACTACAAAACAAAAGTTAAGAAACCAACAAAGTATAAAGTGAGAGAAAAAAAAATTTTTTTGGTGTAAAAATTAATTGTATTTTTTTTTTCTTATCCTTTTCACATCTTTCCTACATTTAAAAGAAAAAAAAATAATTCGGAAAATTCTTCTTCTTTTTTCCTAAATAAAATAATTTTTAATAGCATTTTTTTTTTGTGCACAACACCTAATAAGTTCGTTTTTCTAATTGGTTTTTATAAAAAAATATTTTCTTATTATCCTTATACACTCTCGAAAACATCCTTATCAGAAAAGTAATAGAATTTTTATATAATTTTTTTTACAGTTAATATTTAAATAAAACAAAAAATTGCTTTAAAAATATCCAAAGAAGCGTTATAAAAAAAAATGTTTTTCTTTTCTTTTTATTCAAAAACCTTATTCTAAATTATGGGCAGGATAATAATGCTTACAGAGAGTTTTTCTTAATAATTACGATAGTAAGTAATAACCTGATTTTTCTTGAATTTTAAAGCATACAAATTACTTTATATTATCTTATACTTTATAATTATTGAATGTTGGAAAAAAATAGGATTCAGAACAAGCGATACACAATTTCTGTTGGATTTTACCATGGTACTTTAAAAATTTTGGAAAATATTTTTAACTACAACTCGTAAGCAATTTATTACTGTATTTTACTATTCAAAATTTTAAAAATAAAATTAGTTCATGATTTTAGAAAATGGACTAAGAGAAATTCGAGTTCAGACAAGTGCAAAATTGGTACTTTGATATTCATTAGTTTTTTTCAATTCGTTTATTACAAAAATTATGATTTGACGGAACTATTTTAAATAAAAATTTAATTTGAAAGCTAAAAATACGTTTTAGTATAGTTTTCAAACTCAAGTCGAATTTGACAAAAGATATGACCTACTTGCACTTTACATATAAAATTATAAAACACAAATACTCAGTTATAATTTTTATAACAGCAAAAGCATGACAATTGAATTAATTGTGTATATTGTAAAATTTATAAAATAGTTGCAAAATCAAAAATTGTACAAAATGAAAAATTGTATAGGAAGGACAATTGTACTAATTACCTAGATGCAATAACAATATTATAAAGTTTTTTAGTATATAAGGACGACTACCAAAACCCTTATGAATATTGGTACAATTCGCAGAAATTAAAATTCAATTCAGTATCAGTACAAAAATGTAAAATAAAATCCAAGTTAACTCGATAAACATTTGAAGAATGACGAATTTTTAGTATGCGCCTCAACTTAGTCTAAAAGAACAAAATTATGTTAAAAATTTTTGTTTTTTAAAATTATTGATTTTTGAATTTTTTATTGCTTATTAAAATCTAAGACAAAATTAAATTCTAACTTAAGAAAATAATTTTGTTAGCCAGAAGTGGTTAGTAGATCGTTGAATGTAAGCTCGATATCAAAAAGTTTTCATTTTGGTGGGCGTCCTAATTAATGTTAAATAGTCCAATTAAATATTTAATTTAAAAAATTTGCAGTTTTCTGCGTTTGAACAAAACTCCATAATGAAGTTTTAATCACTTGGTAGTGAATTGTGATATCAAAAAATGTTTAGGCTGTAGAATAGCCAGGTTAACGGCTGTACAACATGCAATTTAATATAAATCAAACGAGGTATAATTACAAGACTTTTGTGCAAATATTTCCTACTAATAAAATTTGTCGTAAGCGAATTTTCATTAAAGTTTCGATTGAAAATAAGAGTGTGAAAGTACGGAAATCATTTTAGCAGCATAATTAACGTGGAAATGGTTACTAACAGAAGTAAAATTTTGAAATTCTTTAGAAAACAAATTTTCAGTACGATCAAGCAAGAGTGTGAAATTTATTTGAATCCATCATTTGGAGTCCAATTAATTAAAAATTGTTTTATACACAAAGAGAAAAACAAAATGGTTCAATGAATACATTCATCGCCATATATTAGGAGGCAACGAAATAAAATTTCGGACTCTAAAGTTTTAAAAATTAATCAGTGCTGTCAATGTATTAATCTGTTATAATTCACCAAAAAAATATTGAATAGAAAAATATGTAAGTAAAAAAAAAATTGAAAAAATTTTTTATTTAAAAAAATAAAACACTTACCTTTCTTCTTCCACAACAAAGCATTCTTCGCGCACGCGAATGTCCAGTAGCTGCCTTTAATCGAGTCAGTTTCTTCCACTGCATCTAGTACTTTAATGCAGACGGAAGTTTTTCTTTTGGGGGGCTCTCTTTATAATGGCCCTTCCAAGGAATTTGCTTTCTTCTTTTTAATGATAAAAACTTTTTCAATACATTTATATTTGAATTTAATGGAAGTTGAAATACATTTGAATGGTGACTACCACCTGGAGTGGTACAACACCATTTAAAATTAAATCGATGATCAATTGATGACAACATTCAAGCGATGTATTTTATTTTTTTGTTTCATTTCGGTTTTGTTATTGTTTTTAATTTTGTCTTACTTAGTTCCCTTTCTTCTTTAATGTTATTTTGCTAGGATGATTTCTTGTATTTTACATTTAGTAAATTTGTTGAGAAAAGTTGATGATTTCCTTAAGCTCTTCTTTCTAGGATTTCTTGAATATTCGTTGATTTCTTAATGTTTAATTAATTTTTTTTGTTTCATAAGACCAATCTTATGCAATTAATTTTTAATGTAAAATTTATTCTAGTTTTCATTGATATTTTATTACTGTATGTATGAAAAAGCGCTGGACATTATTAAATTTTCTATTTTTCTTATTAAATTTTCAATGAAATATTTTTTTTATTCTTTAAATATTTTTCTAGTTGCTTCTTTTTAAATTCAAAATTTTAAAATGAAAAAAAAAAAATTTTTTTATGATTGATTTTATGCTTCTTATTATTTAAGCTTACTTAGAAAAAAAATTTTGTTTTTCTATTACTCAGTCCATAAATGTTGAAAATTTTCTGAAAAAAAGAATTAAAAATAATATTAATTAGATAAGATTACAAGTATAATTAATAATATGTTTGTAAGTATGAATTAAAATAAAAATTCTTATATCTAAGTAGAGAAATGTGGAGAAAAACGATAAATTTTTAACCTATCCTTGAATGGTTAATCTTTGAATATTAAACAATTTGATATGGTCAGTAAATAACCGACCGCAAAGTGTACATTTTGGTTTGATAAAAATGAATTTGGTCCTTAATTAGTTAGTAGATGTTCATTCTACGCGATCCAATTTCCCATAAAAGTTTGTTAGTTAGTTTAGAAGATGATAAAGAAAGCTCAAATATTAAATTTCAAGAGGTTTTCTTTATTACTTTCTTAAATATATGAAGTTAAAAATTCAAATTCGACTCTTAGTGAAAATTCGCTTTGTGAACCCTGGTATTTCCTAAACCAAAACTGATTTATGAAACTTAAAAGAAATTTTTAACTTCGTCAATCCTTTGTGAAACAAAGCCTATATATGAAATTTCATGAAAATGCGTTTAATATGTTTTTTAAATCATCAAAAATGTAAAATCGAGCCGCGGTAAAGATTCAGTTTTCGCCACCTGACATATTCCAGAAGGCGAATCCGTGATGAATCGACTATATCATTAAATTCAATTCGAATATATTTACATTCCCATATTACATTCCGCCGAAATTGAAATACACACACACAGACAAAGCGACATCTCACCAAAAAATATTATTTACGTTTCTCTATCACGGAGAAATACATTCTTGTTGAAAACTCAGCAAGTGAAATTTAGCACTATTACATAACCTTCCTATAGTGCGCTGACCGCATTATGTAAAAACAGTATGTTGTTGTGATGTGAGTTTGAAAACCATTAAAAACACAAAATATTATTTATAAGGTTTTTAGTTCAATTTAACTGATAGATTCTATCTCAAATCCGCTTTTGTAATTAGAATTCTTGGAAAACTTTAATTTTAAATTCTTGTTTTAAATGCCTTATTGACTAAAAATAAAATTTTGAGCGGTTTATGTCGACGCTCAACTATATTTTGTATATTTTGTATGATGACCATATTTTACACAACTTAAACTCTTAACAGTTTTCAGCCAATATTCGACAGAATACAATATCCTAAGTTTTAGTTAAAGATTACATGTTTTTAAGTTATCCTTTTTTTTAGCATTTTGTAAAGCTTCAATTTATAAATTAAACAGCATACATCCAGTATTTGAGTTACCGTATATATTCAAGGGTTTGCTCGAATAAAATATTTTTTTAATAAAATTAATGAAAATAAATCATTTTTCTTAATTGGTCACTTATGTTCTGCTCGCTTAAATATTTATTTTTCTATTTTTTTTGCTTTTAAGAAAATTTTCTTTAAAATAATTACTTTAAATAATATTATGCATCTTAAGTTTTATTTGAAACTATAAGTTGAAAATTTTATTAAAATAATTTTAAAATGGAAATAAGAAATCTGTGAGTAGTTTAAGAATATAAAATTGATTGAATAATCACACAACAGAGAAAAGCACTCTAAATAATTAAAATATGAGTGAAGAGAGAAAGAGAGATAGAGTGGAAAAAATTTTCATTATAGTTTTTAGTTGAAAATTAAGAACGCATATAAAATGAAGTCTAATTTTCCTTTTTTGCGTTTTTATGATGTTCTTACGTAAAGTTTAAGGTGATAAACTGTAGAAATGCAATTCCATGGTAAATAAGAAAGTTGCAACAATGAAAATAGTAGAAAATCTTTTGAATAATTTGAAAAGAAAATTTTTAGATTCATTAAAAAATTTTAGTGGCATCAACACTTTTGCAAAAGAAGAGGAAATTCAATATTGATTAAACAAATTATTGATTAAACGATAATGCAAATTTTTTCTAAACCAATTCTCTAAAGCTAATAAACCATTTCATACTTTAATTCGATTCCACTGTGTCTGATACAATGAAAAAGTAAAATGCTTTGTCAAAAATAATAGCCATTTAAGTGAAATAGTAGCTTTTTCTCACATTACTCAAAAGTGGACAGAATTAATTAGATAACCTGAAAAAATTTGAAGTGAACATAGTTCTTAATCTTTAAATTGATAAGAGTTATCCAAATTAAATATACAGAAGGAGTTATTCAAATTTTATTGTTTTTTAAAAGTATTTGGTTTGCTTTAACTCTTTAAGAACAGTGTGACACTAACAAACGCATACAAAAACTTATGATAAATACAAGTTATAGTTAACAATATTTTGAAAAGTTACAGATGATCGTAGCATATGTTACATAGCACCCGTCCTCAAGGCACCTCTTGAAAAAATAACAATGCCATAAACGACCATTTATTTTTAAAAGCCAAAGTTCAAATGGAATCATAAGGAAAAAAAAGGAACTTTACACAAATCATTGTTTAATTCTTTATACAGAAAGAAGGGGCCATACTTTCAAATTTTCAGTAATCTTATATGGAAACAAAAAATTTTTATAAGGAGCTAATAATAGTAATTCGAATATGTAGAATTATGTGTAGGATTGCAAAATTTGTAAACATCAAAATGATTTTAATTTAACTTTAAAAGTATAGTATTAATATCAAAGGAAGTAAATTCAAATGAAACAAAAGGTTTTTGAAGTAGCACATTACCTACCAAGTGAAAATGAGTACTTTTGTTGAAAAGCCATATTAAATTATTGCATAATTTTGGGATGAAAAAAGAATTAATAAAAGAAATTGTTAAGATAATGATCGGATTAGAATAAAATTTTTTAATTCTGATATTAAGCTTATCAAACTAATAGCTTTGTAAGTATAACGAACCGAAATTATTGATTTCGTTAGTTTTGAGAGGTGACAACTTGAAAGAAGAAAGAATTGAAAAAATTTGCTTCCGCCTAAAAACAACATTTCATAATTTTGAAAAATTTATTAAAATCAAAGAATTGTACCGGTTTCTAAGAGTAACGAAATCAAAAACATTTCGAATATTACTCGAATAATTTTTTGAAATTATTATTTCGAATGTATCGAACTGTAAATTGTCTGAATTTTTAGCACCTTGAGAGACTATAACTTTACGAATGGCAAAAATATCGATAGAATCCTTTTACTAGAGGAATAGGATTTTAAAATTAGAAAACCTTCTATCTAGTTTCTATCTTTGAGGATGTAGAAGCTTGGTGAACAGATGTCTGAACGAACGGACAGAGTGTAGTAATAAAAATCTTGTTTTCTTTATTTTTTTTAAAAATGTGCTAAAGAGTAAATTTCCAAGAAATCTTACAATAAACTTACCCGTACTTTGTTTTCTTTAGAACCCCATTAAGAATTTTGGAAAATGAATGACTAAAAATAATCTTATAAAAATTTTTTGATTTATTGTATTTGATAATGTGAACATTTTGCGTGGAACTTACATCATTTCATTTATATATTTTTATATAATATTGGTAACATATATGTCCCAAGATATATGTACGAATGTAGAAGATATACATATTTAATTATCAGGAAAAAAAGCATACAATATTTTACAATAATAACGGTTATAATCCGAAAATGAATTTAGTCAAAATTTTATGTAATATTTTCTCCTTAGCAGTTCCAAAAACCTACACAAATTTCATTTAAATTAAAAGTGAATATTAAATTGTACCTTATTTAGAAATAAATTCATAGGTTTGGTTCGTGAGTAAAGGATAATAATTATTTTAAATAGGAATAATGTTTAAAGATATTTCACTAAAAACAGTTGACAATGATATCCGAACTCATGTGTTTCAAAACCTAACATTTTTTAGAATGGTCCAATTACTAAATTTGGTATTTGGTAATTGGTAAATTTGTTTTGCGTACATATTGTAATTTGTATGAGTTCGATACACATAATTTTTAAATTTGTATGACAGCTTTTGCAAGAATTTTTTAACCCCAACCAAATTTCACTGAAATGATACTATCCTTTATCATACGAAATTTTGATACTGTTACATTTACAATTCATGAAATATGACTAAATTTTTCTCAGGCAACAACACGAATTTGCGGTTTGATTAAATCTATAAATTGAATAGGGTTGTCGCTGCAAAAACTTCTAGGAACATGTAAACACTTGATTGGCCCAGCTTTATGTATTTTTGAGTTATTGTTGAGACAGACTGGTGGACGGATAACTCAGAACTTCACGCTAACCAAAATTATATATTTGTGTCTTTTTCTCAGGCCATTATTTCCTAGAGTCAAAAATATAACTGCAATTTAATAATAAATGTTCAATAACGGATTATTGAATTGTTCGTACGGGTTGTACAAGAATATTTCTTCTCTCAAATATTATATTAACTTAAAAATTATTCTTTTCGAAATTAATTTTTTTACAAAACTTCCGAATTCTCATCAGAATGTTGTTCCAAACCATCATCACAAACCACATAAAACTGCACAAAATTTTTGATTTATTAAAGCCACGAAAGAAAATTTTCATTAATGAGTGTAAGTAAATTTAAGACCAAATTCCAAAATCTGAAACCTACATATGACTCTAAGCAACTGCTCCAGAAATTTTATTGATAACTTTTGAAATTACCTTTTTGAAATTGCCTACAACTTATTCACACTAAATATAAAGACATTCCAAGAAAATCAATTTAAATTTTAATTGGAAGTACCTACTTAAAAGTAAAAAAATAATTTGAAAATGTTAAACCCTAATAACTTGTGAGGGTAATATTCACAATACACTTAGTTTTCTATTTATATTAAATTACAAAATGTTAATCGATATTTTTTTTCCACAAACTTAAATTCAACTTCTAGTATGCAATTTCTTTGGTTTATTTTCTCACTTATTGTAACAATTCTAGACGCTATTCAAAACTCATAAATAATACAACTGTAGTATTATTCTTAATTCTCCTATTTTTCTCTTCCTTTATCTTTATGCTCATCTATAAAATAAAGAAACAAAAAAAATTGTTTTTATAAAGTTTT